GGAAGAGCGCAATGATGGTGCCAACTTGGGCCAGTGAAGCAACGTCCTCCACAACTAGACTGAAGAACAAAAGGACAGCAACTTGTCTGTTTCTCTTCCCCAATTCCCCAGCACTGTTCCCATCCCCCCAATTCCCCAATTAAAAAAAAATCTTAAAAAATAATAATAATAATAATAATACACCCAAAGACAGCCATCCCCTGGGAAACTTTTGCAGGGCAGCCTGATTCTTTGTGCACTCACCTATTCCTCTTGTACTTCTAAGTAGCCTCGGGAACTGCTTGGCCTGGAAGTGACTTGCCTGGTCAATGGGAAGAATATGGAACTAGGAGATAGGAGACGTGATCCTGCTCCTGGCTCCACTGCTACGTCACCGAGCAATGTAGGCAAGCCACTCAGTGCCTCCGCCACTCACATCACCTGCGAAATGATCAGAAAGTCATTTGTCCTAGCTCAAAGACTTATTGGGAGGGGCACAAGAAATTCATTTACTTATAACTGCTTTGATAAGTTGAAAGCACCATAAAATAATTACAGCTACAACACTCACTGAGGACCAACGAGTGATGTCTCATTACCTCCTTCCCTTCGCCCCATGAGGTTGATGCCAGCCAGTATTATTCCCATCTTGCAAACGAGGAAATAGATTCAAGTTGTCATCCTGGCCACGGGCACACAGCCAGGTTCTCCAACTCAAGCTTTCTAACTCTAAAGCCAAAGCTCTTAAAATTCTGTATCTAATATACAATACTAGCTAACATTTATTGAGCATTTATTATGGGCTAGCCTTTTTTCTACAAAATTCACATGTGTTAATTCACTTTTCCCCAAAACTCTAGATGCAAGTATTATTATTGTTCCCATTTGACAGATAAGGAAACTGAGAGAAACTACATAACTTGACTAAGTTTATACAGTTCCCAAGTGACAGAGCCAGATATTTTGATCCTCTGTTCCCCATCATATATATATATGCATATATATGTGTGTGTGTGTGTGTATATATTTATATGTATATATATATACATATATATATATATGTATGTATGGAAGTTACTGATTAGAAACCAAGTTCCAGTAATGACCCATAGGTTCATCAACATTAAATATTTGTTGAGTGCCTGGTATGTGTCAGGCAACCAGACCCTAGGCAACGGCTGGAGTTACTGAAATGTATAAGCCACTGGTCCCCGCCCTCCAAGAAATGACAGCCATATAGCAGGAACGTGTATTTTGTAAGTATTTTGTAAGTATTTTGTACAGTACAATGAGGTGTGTACGAAGTGCAGAGACAGCATAAAGAAAGAAATGGTTAATTCATCAGGACTGGTAAGAAAAAGGTTTCACATGATAAGTGACATCGATGCAGAGTTTGAAAGCAGTTCACTCAGCACACAAGGCATGACATGGTGTTTCCAGGAGAGAGGGCATCACAGCTGAAGTCCTCCCAAAGCCAAGCTCGATATGGCACGGCCGCATGAAATCAATGCTTCTCCAATTCTATTAGAAACACTTTTTCAGTTTGCCAGAGCTGC